GTGGTGGAATGGCAAAGTGCATCTGAATTGCTGCCTGCATCCTTCGTTCTTTAATTGTGATTCAACCTTTGCCACTGAGGCCTGGGGTCCAGGAAACCGGTTGGAATCACTGGAGCTACACCAGTTCATACCAGCTGAGGGTCTGGCCAAGTACATGCATGTTTAGACCACACATCAACACGCGTAGGGAATGGATTTAAGAAACTCATTTCAACTTGGCTGGCCCAAATTCATCAAGCAAATCTGTATCCAGGGATGAGCGGCAGTGAAAGCCACTAATTTTATGCATAAACTTAGTGAGGAGTGCAGCATGTCAATTAGTCTCTTGTGTGCGATAATTAGCTCACATCCTACGGCATCACTAAAATTTCGTTGGGGACGTGGTCACTAGAGCTCTGATCACGCTCTCGGCAGCTTCCAGCTTTCTCTTGGTTTCAAACACGATTTTGAGACCATCATTCGCTTCTCAGCCAGCTGCCCCAATAATCCAAAGTGCGCCGACCTTTGCAATAAGGTTCCAGCTTCAGCCGTGGGGGGAGGGGGTCTGTGTGTGGTTAGGATTGTTGACTAAGTTCTTTAGGCCCAGATGCTCTCTTCTTGCCCCCTAAGATATGCTCAGCCCAGCTCAGCCTTCTTCTCATGGTGCATCTGTGGAAGCTCCAGCCCATCACCAGCTGGCCGTGGTCTATGTTGTGAATTCGAGTCATTCAGGGGCACGCCACTCCACGCTTCCAGCTCCCTACACCAAGTGAGAGGGGGCAGCTGGCCAAGGAACCAACTACGCCACTTGATGCCTCTATGCCTGAGTGCTGCAAAGTGGCTGGAGCAGAGGGAGAGAATCTGGACCTTCAGAGGCTATTCAGAGTTGACCCTGGGTCAGGTGCTGCAATTCACTTTGTGCTATGCCAGAAAGGAGGCGATGGGCTGATGCTGAGTTTTGTTGCCTGCTGTAACCTGCTGTGATAGTTTTGGACACGCCCCTCTGAACACAAGTAACAGGGTGACGTAGATTTAGATCATTTTTAAACTAAAAAAAGGCCTTGACGCTGGCTTGGATGGGGGAGCCTCAGGGAGAACAGAGGCTTTGGACTCAGATAAACACGCAGCCGTCTGGATGCATCAATCCCTTGCCTGGTATCGGAATATTTGAGAACCTGCAGATGGCTTTTGTTCTGAAACAGAGTCTGTTTACCTTAGGGGCTGCTACAAATCATAAATAATACAAACCTGTGCCCCGTGGCTGATGTAGTACAGGGTGCGGTACCACTTGCTGTCACTGGGGGGGTGAAATACACGGATCTGTCTAGTTCAGGTTAGCTCCAGGGAGGGAGACCATGGTGCTGGCCCCTTTATGGCTTCTCAGGCTGCTGGCGCGCTCCGATCACCAGCCACCACAGCAGCGCTTTGCCCCGGCTCTGGTGGTGGCCATGACCCCGGCGTTGCTGCAGCCGCGCTTGGTAGCTGTATTTGAGAACGGGGCGGATTCCTGTCCGGATCTGAAAGTCGCACACGTCCCAAACCAGCCCTCGGGAGAAAAGGGGCAGCCTCCGATCTCGGCCGCCACCATTCAGTGGCTCCAGGGCGCAGGTGGAGCCAGGCCAAAAGAGCCAAGTGTTTGCGGTCGCTGCGTGGTTTAGCCGGCCGTGCTGGCAGCGAGGGTCGGTGCGCTGGGCTCCTGGCCCGCTTCGGCACGTGTGCCGCGGCTGCAGCTGGCTCTTTTAGTGCTGATTAAACAGATGGTGGAAATGTCGCCACCGGGCCCTTTCTACTCGCCAGCAGCAGCTCGCTGCGGAGGCACGTGGGGATGAAACCTATTTCAAAGGGCTGGGATCAGCTCAGCCTCGCAGACATTTTGTCAAACAACAAAACGTACAGTGAACGCAATGATCTAGAAAACCGCTGATACTGAATCCCCTTTGCTAGGGGAAGGGGCGACAGCGGGGCTCGAACCCCCGGATCAGGGAGCACGCACCTCCTTAGCGCTGCAACGCGCACCCTTAGCTCAGGGCGTCAGCAGGCTCAAAAGCTGCTGCCCATTGACTAGCCATTAGAGGGGGCAGAGCCACAGGGTGTGAGCCCAGGGTACGCTAGACGCTGCTTTCTACAGGGGTTTGGGCCACAGGAAACTTTGGGGCCAGGGTAGAAACTAAAACCAGGTCAGAACAAAGCCTCCAGCTCCAAACCCGCCAAATTCCCAAGCGGCCGAGAAAACAGCTTGGGAAGTTTCCAAAGGCCCCCGTGTTTGCGGCTCCATGGTGCTGCCCGTCTTCCAAGTGAGTCTGGCTGCTGAGAGCACATTACCCCCCTGTGCTTTGCCAGCTTCCTCTGCGCAGCTGGGGGCAGGCAAGGTCCTGCTTTAGGAGGGCTGGCAGATGGCTGCATCACAGACCTCTTCTCCTAGGACCCGTCACGGCTGTGAAATAAGCCGGAGAGCTCTTGCAATCGATCCCAAAGGAGTAGTTGGGGTCCTGCCCCAGGCATGCTGGGATGAAAGCCAGGGCCTGTGGAATTCCCCACCTCCCTGTTGTCTGTCTGAGCCCAGGTTTGGTGACCCTCAGGACGGAGTTTAAGCCAGGCAGCGGGGGGAGAGGCCCAGGATCTGCATGAAGAGGCAGGCACACCCTCAGTTCACCTGGGCGCTGTGCGTGGGTGAGACGCTGCCCTGGCCTCAGCTGTTTGGCCGTTCTGGGCTGTCTAGTGTCTGAGCACGTCCCCTCCCCGCACCAGGGAGCGGGGACGGTGTCATCAACTTCAGGGAAGGGAGCTGCTTGGGACACTAGAGCTCTGGGTGCAATTCCCAGCTGTGCCCCTGGCTCCGTGCGGGATCTTGGATCAGTCGCTCAGTTTGGATAACAACCCTTCCTTGGTCAGCCTGGTCTAGGCTGCAAACCCTTCGGGGCAGGGGCTGTTGCAATGGGCCTCTGATCTCAGACCGTGCCTCTAGGGGCTACGGTCCTGTGAATCATCACCATAAACCCAACCTGCCGGCTGGAGCTCAGAGACCCCCGGGCGCTTTCCAGCAGTGAGGTTGGGCCTATTTCAGTTTCTAACCCAGCGGAATCTGCTGGGCCTTGGCGTCCGGTGGGCCTCGCAGTGCAGATTATGCAGAATGTAGAATTCTGGGCTGTCTGGGGTGGCCTTGGATGTCCGTTAAGTGCTCAGGGCTACATTTAAATAACAGGTCTGGAAGCTGACTGAAAGCAAGGACGTTTCACATTGAAGCTGCGTCCCTTGTGCCTGTTTTTCCAGTAGCCTAATTAACTGTCTGAGTTTGTGATTTGAATTGGGAGACAATTGTGGGCTCGTGGTTTGAGCAGGCGGGTGAGCGCTAGGATGGCGGGGGGTTCGAATCCCGGCTCTTCTGCTCAGTGGTGCCTGTGGCTCTATGCACATTAGGCACAGGGCGTATCATTGGCATGGGCTGACGGGGGGATAGGGCTGCCCAGAGCAGGAGAGCAGTTGGCCCCAGCTGCCTTGTTTGAGTGGGCCCCCAAACCGAGTTTCATAACTGGCGTTGAGGGGTCGCAGCTCTGCTCAGGTTTGGGCCAATGTCTCCTTGATGGAGGGGCCGCTGGGCCAAACTTGAGTGGTATTGCAACACCCAGAGCGGGGGGGCCCTCCTGGTGGACCAGAGCCAAGCTGCCGCTGTGGTGAAAAAGTTCTGGGGATGCCCTTTCTGCTACTAACAACATCTGTGGCTTTAAGACGCCCGTTCTGTCTCAGTTTCCCCATTGATAAAGCAGAGATCATACTCGGCTATTTCATAGGGGTGTTGTATGGCTCGTAAAATGCTTTGCAAGTGGAAGGTGCTGAGTAGTAGCAGTGTATGTGGATGGTGGCTGATATACCCGGATCACCCACTATAGTGAGGCAGCCACCTCTGGGGGTGGGGGGTGGCAGCTGTTTAACAGAAATAGATACATATTTTTTAAAACTCCTGGATGGCTTCATGATTCCCTGTTGCTTTGCACGCTGCGTGCCATTGACCCCCGTGCAAAGTGAGCGTGAAATACTACCAGCTCAGAATGGTAACAGTTCACACGCTCACTCTGCACTGGGACAATGACATGAAGAATTAGATCTTGGGTGTAAATGAATACAACTCCACCCACTTCCCAGCTTGCCCCAAATCTGACTTTGGCAGTGACCCCAGGGTCCGGGTGCCTCGTCCCCAAAGAACCCAGGCTTGTGGCCGTCGCAGCGAATTAGATTTCCCATTCAACTTTAACAACAAACGAAACGGCGTTGTCCTGAAGACAGCACATGTTTTTCTCTTCCTTCAGTCAGGTGATCCAACCGATGTGAACAGTCATTGTCCACTTCCAAAGTCAGCATTTTGGGATCACTAGTGAATGAAAACGTGACGCGTTGTTTAGCTTTTTGTAACGTACGGATTCCTCAGCGCGCGGTTTCCCCTAGCATGTTCTCCCGCCGCTGTACCACACGCAGGTGGCCGGGGCCGGGTGCAGAGAAGGGCCAGGTGTGCACAGCTCTGCCTTTCGATACGGCTGAGCCCAGATTACTTGTGGGAGCTCAGGTCCCTCCAAACCTGGATTTGGCAAACGAGCGAGGAGAGCTCGCCCAGAAGGATCCAGTGGCAAGACTGACTTCTGAACTAGCCGCAGCCGGGTGGGAGGGCAGGAAGGGGCAATGGGGGGCAAGGCTGAGGTCTGGGATACGTAGCCGCTTAATAATTATTCCTTTCCTCCACCAAACACTGCCCTGTCGGGGCGGCGGGCTGGGATGTTACCCACCACGAGGGAAAGCCAGCGGGGCTGGAGATTGGGTGCAAGAGGGATTCCTTTGGGCCAATTCACTAGCAGGAGCATTTTTGCGGAGGCTGGTGCTTGGAGGGCCCCACGTCGCCACACAGGCCTAGAATGTGAAGTATAGGCAACCGCTTTGGAAAGTCTGGGCCTGAGCGCGCAAGCGCAATACCAGGCTGCAGCGTGGGGGGTACCACCGACATCCTCACAGCCCCTCTGCCTCTTGCCTTGCAGCCGCGTGGAGGCGGAAGCCATCGAGAAGGAGCTGCTGGAAGATTACAAATTTGGTCGGCAGCAGCTGATTGAGATCTGGGGACACGCCAGCGCCATGGCTGTGACCAAGGTAAGTGCAGCGCCGTGCCAGGAGGGGGCATGCCAGGGTTTAGAGCAGGGAGCTCTGGGGATTGTTACTCGCAGGGACCCCGGGTGCAAAGCCAGGGGCTTGGCTGGCATGCGAGCGTGCTCCCCTGGGCTGTTATCAGATGTGCTTCCTTTTCCTGTGGTCTCTTCCCCTCTCCCAGCCTGGGTTTTCTGTTCGCTTCCCCGTTCCGGACCAAACGCCAAGTGCAGTTTGTTGGAGGCACAGAAAAGTCTGGGTAATTTTCTTCCTCCTCCATTGCTGTGACAGCCACCAGTTTGGCCAACAACGCACGGATTGCACCAGGGACCTCAGAGCTGAAAGCACAAGTCTCGACAGGCGCTGGAGCTGGTTCAGGGAGGGACACGTCATGGGCACTGACCAGTAGGTTTTGCCATCTTCACCTTCCCTGGAGCCAGCTGTGACCAGAATCACCTTGGTACTGGCTGTTTTCATGGTCATTCCCATGTGGACCAGAGCCCGAGACTGTTTTTGTGGGGTTTCCACCCAGGACGGGCTGTTCTTTCCAGCAGACTCCAGCATTTTCAAGGCGCTTTGGCTAACGTCAGGACCAAGCACGAACTGCGAACCTGTCCACACTCGCTCATTGCTAGGGTAACCCCCGTGCAGCTATTGCAACACGGATTTGCTTTGGGAATTGGCAAATGTGCTGAGGAAACGGGGCCAAGATTTGTCTTGTGCGCTTGCTGGTCTCCTGTCATGGGGGAAAGACGCTGCCTGGGGGAGGAATGCTCTTGAAGAAGAAGGAATGCTCTTCTTTAAGAAGCTGGGATGGTTCTCCCCAGTTGCTGTCTCAGCCCCAAGGGTGATACCCTGAGAGAAAAAGGGTGAGCTGGCTTCTTGCTCCGGAATACCAATCTCTCTTTCTGGGAGAATCAACCAGAGGGGCCTGGGAAGCGCGTCCTCCCCTCAGACACTGGAGCAGGGCAACATTGTTTGGCCCAAACTTTTTTGGGGCAAGAAAACAGATTCGGCAACCCTGAAACAGTTGGTGAATTTGTGTCAAATGGTTCATTTAAAAAACAAAAACAAAATTCCCCCCAAATCCAAATGTTCCATTGCGACATTTGTTTCCATTTTTTTGGTTCGCAATGACTCTTTGTTTGGAAATTTCCTTCTATTTGATGGTTGAAAAAAATCTCAATGTGCCCCCAACTCAAACCTGAACGTTTAATATCAGATCAAAGGAACCGCTGGGGGTTTAGTTTTGGAATTTCCAAAAAAAATGGAAACATTCCATTTTGGGTTCGAGCCCGAACAGATTTGTTTTTCTTTTTCTGATTTGTATGGAATTGTTGGCGAACCAAAAAACCTGTCATTCACCCGGCTCGGTCAGAGACGCACTCAGGGCCTGGTGTGGGACTGCCTTCTCCCACTGCCAGGGGGCCTGGCTATTGATTTCCTTCCAGCAAAGCATGCTGGGAATGGGAGGAGTCTGAGACCCTATAATAGTCCGGCCTCTTCTCCCTGCTGAGTTAGTGTGGCGAGAGCAGGACAGGAGGCACTGTCTGAAGGTTTTACGGCCTGTTGGAGCTGTACTTACTGGCTGGAGAAAGCCTTCTGGCTCTTTCCAAGAGGTTTTGGGGAAGTCACTGAGCACCTTTGGGGGACTGGATTCTGGGTAACTACACAGCCACCTGCTCCAATGGTGGCTTTATCTCTGCACTTCTTTATCCCATGGCTTCTAAGGTGAGCAGGGCATCCTGACCCAGGACCATGGGCAACGATGGGCCAGTACCGTGTACTGGAGATCTCCTCTCCCATACACACCTGCTACCTACTGAGCAACAGGACAAAACTCACAAGTGGGTCAAACCTGCCTGGACGAGGTCATTCAATAGCATGTGACACATCCTGCAGTTTGGCACTTGTCAAGGCTTTATGGGCTTTGCAGAGACACAATGTAGAAGATTTATAGAGGACATCACTGTTGATGGAGTGTAACATCTGTCCATATACCGTAGCATCTAACATCGTCACATGTATCTGCAACGGTCAGGTAGTCTTGCCTTGGAGTGCTTAAGAATGATTATTGCATGTAAAGGACTTCTAGCTATATTGCGCCATTCATCCTGAAGGACACCAGAGTGCCTTACAAATGTATATACAGGCATTGCTTTGCCAGGCACTGACATGCACCCGCCTCTGGAGTGGCACATGGCAGGTGTTTAGTAGCCACATAGCATCGCTCCACGCATCCGAAGGGCCAGTTCCTCATCTGTCACTCCATTGACGCCAGTGGAGCTAGATTGATTGACACCAACTGGGGATCTGGCCGGAAGTGAAGGAGACTACCGTCTTCCCATTTAAAGAGCGGGCTGGGCAGGGAGGCGTGGGGGTTAAGGATCCAAACTGAAACTCTCCCAGGACACAGGGTGTGATGCCCCTAGCCCTAGCGCACCTGAAAGGGTTTGAGTCCGCAGATGTCTAGCAGCTAACAGCTCGTTAGTGGAATAAACCAGTCTGCAGACAGCTGTTTTGCTGCTGGTTCCCGGCTTCCCTAAGGGATGCGAAGTGCAAAGCTACTGAAAGGTATGTGTGTGGGTGGGTGAGTCAGCTCCACTCCTAACGACTGCAGCAGAAACTTCTGTTCCGTGAGACGCTGTTGCTTTTCACTTTGGATCGTCAGCCGAACTGTCACAAGCCCCCACGTCTGAGTCGGTTCACTCTTTGATTCCTGCTTTCACCCGAACATCGCAAAACCCGAGTCCGGGTGCAGGCTGGCCTTTGCTGGAACAGATTTGAATGCAAAAGCTAAATGTCAGCTCATAAATATTTAGCTCAAGATATTTCCACAGCAAATTTGCTCAGCAGGGGCTGAGACAGAGTTAGGAGCGAGAAGGTAACAAGAAGGGAGCCTGATTCTCATTCACACCCAGGCCCTTTTATGTGGCGTTAAAGCCCCTTTGCACTGCCAGTGTGGTGCAAAGGGGTCTTAGTGGAAATAGAAGAAGGTTCATATTTCCTTAACAAAGATGGGGCCAGATTTGATGGTGATGTAAGCAGTGGGGAAAGCTCCGTGTGGGTGTAAGCTGATCAGAACCCAGCTGAGCGTGGTAAAGTTGTGTAATGAACACCCATCGTGCATGCGATGGGAGTGCAGGAGCTTGGGAAAGCAGCCCCCTCACCCTCCCCGAGTTCAATGCAGAGCAATCCTGTCCTCACTGGACCCTGTACCTTCCAACTAGCCCTATGTGGTGTGTACCCTACACCCATTTTCCAACACCCCCCCCAATGCCAGGGCAGTGCCGCATGAGCCATCTTCGGGATGTGCTGGCAGGACCGGGGGCTCGGTCACGGGGCTGCCATC